AGGAAAAGGTGTTTGGATGAGGTTAAAATCTCCAGTAACTCTTTTAAGATTACTGGTAATGCTGCAATTATGTATGGATCCACAGGGCTCAGTTCTTGCACAACAGCCTCTCTGCAGCCAGGTCTGGCAGAGAGGCTGCCAGACCAGTAGGTCTGACACTGAATAAGTGTATGAATATTTTGTCCACGATCTCCAAAATCCTTATTGCTATTTGCAATAATCCCACAGCAAGAAAAGTGTTAAAACCACACCTAGACATAGTCTGACTTGATCATTGTGTTCCCTTGAAAGGTAGCTTGACAAGTTAGTTGCCAAAACTTAGCTCGGGTTTCTGAACTGAAAGGTGCTGTGTCCTGGCAAGCTTAAGGCAGGTAATATTTTGCTAATGCCAAGAATTTAGGGCTCAAACACGTTGTAAAGGAGGAAGCAGCTGAAACCTGCAGATTCCTGAAGACCTGTTTCCTCTCTTAAGTTGCAGAGGTAATTCAACACCTCAAACAGAAACTATGTGGCCTATTTACAATTGGATAACCAAAATCTAAGGTCAGAACACCCAGAAACTACAGTGTTTGATCTAGGAATGCCAGTTTGGCATATAAACCCTCCCTTTGACTCATCATCCTTTGCAAGTCAGCCAGTCTACCTTTTAACCCTGTGTAACTAACTGGCAGAGTAATACCACCATGACAGAGACAGGAATGGGATGGGTCACATACAAAATCCACTCTGTCCTGCTTCCTTCCTGCCCACTGCATGCAGTGGGATGGGCAGCTGGGCAGGGCATGGACCTCTCACTTGAGAAACCATGTTTCCTCTTCTTGCTCCACCACACATCTTCCATGTGAGGCCTTTGGCAAACAAGTTGCTTAGTGTCTTCGTGTCCAAGTTTCCTGCATGTGAAATGAGAATAGCACATCTTTCCAGGAGCACCTTGAGGATAAACACAGTAAATTCTGAGCTGCTCAGATTAGAAGAGGGTTTAAATAAGCACAATAATGGACCAAAACAAACTTAGCCCAGTGGGATAAAGTGGAACAGTCATGCTGAACTCGCTGTTTAAAAAAAAGTAAATACTTTCCATTGCTGTTTACTGATATTAGCACACCACGTTTGCTTTGTCATCTGATGGTTTTCTTTCTGTCTCAATAAAGACCAATGTGTCATGACCAATTGTACAAAATATAGCTAAGGAAGAAATACAACATGCCCTCAAGTCTTACTCTTTGTAAGACTGAAAAGAGCAGTGTCCTATTTGCATCCCTGAGAACTCGTGGTTCACTGGCACTGATAGCCAAACCTTGGGAAGCCTTTCCATATGACCTGAACAGTCAACAGAATGTGAAATGCACCAGGACACTCACGTTTGGAGACCAGTTTCACAGTATTTGGATAAAAATGCAACAAATTAGTTATCAGAGGTTTAAGCTCTGAACATTTTTCAAATTCAGATGGGAAAATGACGAACATCAACATTCTTTAAAGTTATAAAGCAAATGCAAAAATACAATGATTAGAGGAAATGCAACAGAAGTCAGCAATGTCATCTGGTTTTGGAAGCTAAAGAGAAAGAAGACACTGGTGTAGTGACTTTTCAATGCCTTTTTAACTTGCTATGAAGGGCACAGATTTGTGAGATCACTGGTTCTGTCTCTCTCACCTTTTACAGCTGCATTTGAAAATTGCATTTGAAGGCAGCATTTTACAGCAGCAGAACTTTACTCATGTCAGGAGTTAGAACCAATGTACACAGTAAGAAATCATGAGAATCCAAACAGAGAGATCCTGTCCAAATCAATAATCACTGCGGGGCCCCTGTCACTCTGGGTTATTTCCAGGCACTCAGTGTGACAGAAGCAGAGGCAGGACTCCTGTGAAGCACTGGCTGTGCATGTTTTCTGAGAAAGTTCTAACAAAGCTTTAGCTTTCTAAAACGTGCACTTTCTCTTCAGCAATAAGCAACAAACTGCTGCTTCCCTCTGCACCCTTTGAAGGAAGGTCTCTTTAGAGAGCTTACTTACCAGCAGCTACTACACAGTCGTATCCAAATACTGTGAAATATTTTCTAAGAGTAGGGACCTGCATGGTACCTTACAAACTCCTACACTGCAGCTTCACATCAAAGAAAGGTGTTTGCTGAAAATACTGTGGTCTTATTCCTTTCACCTGAAATTTGTTAAGATAAGTTATCTCCCTATGTACTCCCCTACTCACTCCATTCTTTGGACAGATCTAAGCCCGTGTTCTTCAAGGTCAAAGGCTTCGCGAACTTTGTGTACAGGGAAGAGTGAGATTTATTAGAACCAATTTGCATAAATCACCTGTAATACCTATCAAAGTGATTACGTGTTATTCCCATATCAGTATTTGCATACAGACATCCCAGCACGCACATGCTATTTCTGAGTCACACCTATCTTTTTAGCTCCCTGTATGAAGTAACAAAAAATTAACTAATTTAATCACTGGCTTTTTTTCTTTTCTTTTTTTAAAAAGAATGTAACTGCTTGTTCTGGTGGATCCTTCCTTAAATCTTCCTCAAAGTACAGTAAAACTCCTTGCACACTAACAGAAATTTTCCATTCCTTCACTACTTTTTAGCCATGAAAGCCATTATTCATTACTGTAGTTTTTACCTTTATCTCTTCTCTGCCCTTTGTTTGTCTTTGATACTTACGAGCCTTTACTCACTATGCAAACAGTTTCTGTGCTACGCTAACCACACTCTCTTATCTGGACTTCTACAAGTAGAGTAAGAGGCTCGAACAGCACCCACCAGTCACAGTCTTTACACCTTGGGTTTGAACTCAGAGGTTATACACAAATACCAGCCTGGACAGCTTTTGAACTGACATCATGTGTGTGGGCTTCCTACACTTCAGGTTTAAGTTATAAGATCTTTCCCACATCAGCCCAGCTGGCAGCAGAAACTGCAGCTCTGGCATGCATAGTCATGTGCAGTGCACTTCCAGGTTGCAGGATGAAGGAGAAACCACACCAAAGATCAGCACCCATATGCAGCGTTGTTGTAGCTCACCTTACTCTTCTCCTTACTAATACTCATGCGGTCATGTGGCAAACCGCTATATAAAACCTTCTCAAGAAATCTTAGCCTTAATTTTATACATCTAGCATCAGGTCAGGCAAAGTTGCAAGGAAGGTTTTTGATACTTTCCAAAGACAGAATTAATAGCCAGACTAGTGCCATAAATACATTAAGTAACTTTAATGCTGCTTAGCATAAGTTTTTGTTGCATACTTTCGTCCATATACTCCAGTGTATTTTACACAACATGAAGTAGTTTTAAAAGTATATGGCTCTAATAAAACGTTCACAAAACAAGTTTCAATGTAAGTAGAGAATTGGGGGAGGGCAGAGGAAATCAGCCAGAGTACAAAATCTTTGGAAGATAAAAATTTAAGGAAACAGGATATACAAAATCATCCCACTGCAGTTAATCCAGGACAACCGAGTGGTTCCAGTAGTCAGAAGGGCTGCCACTCACTGCTACGTCATCCCTAAGAACCTGTCCAGGGTCAGCAGGGACTGCAGGGCCCTGCTGGGGGTGGCTGGCTCTCAGACATCCTTCTACCTGACAAGTTTGATAAAGTAAGCTCCATAGCAGACACCCTGGTTGGCTCCAGGAAAAGGAGTAGGCCTGGGAATGAAGAAAGTCCTGTCTTCCCTTACCCAGCCACTGCTGGTCTCTGCAGTATTCAGGTGCATTGGCTGTTTAACGAATGATGGGGAGCCCTCTTCTCCCAGGTGATCAATTTGGCACTATTCACAAGAGCAAAAATCATCTACTAGCATTACAAAAAGCTTCAACATCTGCAAACCAGCATGGGTGTCAAGGAGCAGAGCACAATGCCATCCTTTAGTTTTGTTAAATTGCTTTTCTATATATAATATTGAATGTCATTATACAACAGGGATACTCAAGAGAGGCTCAATTAAACCTCATTTGTGCCAAAAGGAAACTCCAGAGTGAGTGGACCGCTCTGCATTCCACTGCTTTCAAGAAGACATTTGTGTAGGCACCTGTCCGAATAGAAACACCTTTACAACACTTCAGGTTTAGAATGCAACAAATAACACACTGTAAAATTGAGGTCAGACATTATTCACCATTTGGTTACATTCCATTCAAATGATATTGACTCACATAATAAGTAACAAACGCAGCACTTGAAGTAACAAAACCAAAGCTGTACTCCAACAAAGTAAAACAGTGCAAATACTCCTGTTAAACAAAAATATACCATGTATATACATACACAACACAAATGCACTGTTTTGTTCTGCAGTATAAATAGATCTGATTAAGCTAAACTCCTAAAACTAATGAACTACTGACTGACAGTTGCCAACAGTTTCCATGTACTAAGGAATACAGCAAGCTTTAAAGATCAGATAACCATAGGTGGATATGGCTATAAAAGAGTATCAAAAGATTTCACTGGATGTATATTTAAAATATCTTCTCTGTACATCAAAATTAATAATATATATACTAAGCTGGTACCACAAAGTCAGCTTGGGGTCTGACCATGCAAGGAGCAGCATACAGAAAACCCATGACTCTAAAAGGAGCCTCGAGGCTCCACCTGTGTGGAATGCTGCAAAACACTTAAGGCCCAATCCCAGGATTTAACAAGGGAGGAGCTTTTTAGCTGCCTATGCAATTAACACGTTGGTTTAGTTTCCATTTTCTTCCTCTTCTGATTTAGCACTAGAATTCTGTTATCTGCTAGTGACATACCTGTTTATCCCTGAACTCTGTAATACCATGCAATGAGTATACTTTTAATGAGCACAGAATAAAAGTAAAAATTAGAAAGGGAAGAGATGGAAACTTGTTCTCTATTAGGGAAATCCTTATGAGGAGTTATTTGCATTTCAGCACTTTGAAACAGACATAAAGCAAAAAAAAAAAAATTGAAGTCTTTTGGAATTAGGTGACAGTAAAACAGACAAGTAGCACTTAATTTGATCTGACGCAGAACACTCAGGCATCAAGCTCTCTTCAACTGCTATAGCCTCCATCTCCTTAACGCCAGGGCTGTGCTGCAACCATAACAAACAGCTGTTGCAAAGGCAAAAATCTAAAGGAGAAGCAGGGGGGAAAAAAGAAGAAATAAGAAAAAAAGTGAATCACACTTTATACTGTTCTACAAGTATACATTTTTTTTCTATTCTAAATGAATACAGGAACACAAATTATTCAAAAGTTATCTCCTCCAGCCAAAATGCTTAAGGTAAAGTTGGTCTGGGATCCTCTGAAGTCTTCTCATTAACCTTTCTGTTGTAACTCCATGTTACTGCTTTTCACTTACTTGCTGGCTTCAGAAGACATTGTGAAACAGAGTATGAAGCAGAATGTCTGCATAAGTTATGGAACAAAGTAATCGTGTGTAAGTACACTGTGTATTTCAGTTTCCTCTTACCTAGACTGATCAAACATTCATCTCAGATTTGTTTCCAAGTGAACGTCTTTACCAGCAAACACCTATGAAGACATCCCTCTAAACAGAACCCTTTTACTTGCAAAAGTGTAGAAACAGCTTCAAATCCGGCCTCCTTGACCAGATAACCAGCCATTAAAACAACTTCCTGAGGAATGCCAGGAAGCTACTATTGCTCAGGCAGTGAACTGAATAGATTTGAAGTGAAAGTCATTGCACAGCAAACTTGAATATGTAATGTAAACCACAGGAAGAAATGAGAAACTGAATTGCTGAAAAGCAGCTTCTTATATTGTCAGGTGCTCACGATGGATTCTGTCTCTTGGAACAGAAGAATTCAATCATGTCATAACAACCTACCTACTTGCTTTCCATACAAGTGATAAATTGACAATTGAAGTTTTCATTAGATGCTACACTGTAGAACTATCACCCATGTAAAATGAATATGTGTATTTTTAATCACAATATACAAAAGTAATTTTAAAAGACAAAATGTTAGAAACCTTTTATATTTTTTCCATGTAGATCACGGGACTGTTAATGAAGTGTTTCAAAGGATTACAAGTTTTTTCTGAGTGTCCTGACTTTTTAATTATATACTTTTGGAAAAAATGCAAAGACATTGAAGGCTACAGTTACCTGATACACCATTTCTTGGCATCTCTTCATCAAAAATACTGAGGCAAGTTACAAAAGAGTCTCCTCCTCCCCTATCTTGACAGGGAGTTGAGGAGCCTGAAGGCTTGAAGAACTAAATTCTCCCTTGAAAAATAGTGTAGAAAGGGGAAAGAGAAAAACTTGCAGTTCTCAGTATCCGGTTGTCAGACAAAATGACTGAAGAGACCATATATTCAGTGGGATTTGAATACACTGAAGGAGGATTGCAGAACTACACTTTAAGGTAGAATTTGAGATACTTGCCTATTTCAAAGCCCTCCCCTAGTTCAGGTGCAGCTATGAGACACCACCTCTGTCCTTTTGCCATGTGGCCATACAGGTATTAGATGTGTTTGAGTGTGTTACTGGTAAGTGGGTGATGGCGAGGAACTCTGAACTTAGAGACTGACATGTCCATCTCACCCCATCAGACTGGCTTAGCCAAAGCAAAAGGCCTTTTTCTTTTTATTCTCCTCTTGCAGAGAGAATGTGAACCTTACACCTTACTTTCACCTGGTTTTATCTTAAGATGAATTGAAGGTATTTACTGTGCAAAATTAATGGTGCATTTAGTTTTAAGGACAACTAATACCCACAGAGGGTTTTAGAGGCTTAATAAATATATACAGTTCCCTGAGGTATGCAAGACCCTCTGGATGGTACAAAAAACATAAGAGCAGTAGTTCCGGTTCTTTTAAGTTAATCTTACTGGCACACCTCTACTTGCCCTTCAGGAGTCCAGCCAGGGAGAAAGCTAGAACCTGGTATATTTTCTGACTCAGCTACGCACTCCCACATCAGCAGATACAGTGACTCAGTGATGAAGCAATTACAGTGAGAACAGTAAAGTCTGAGCTTAGCCTATCAATAAAAGCACTCTAATCCTTGCCATAAGAGACAGCAGGACCCTTACAGGTAACTTTTATACCTGATATAACTCCAAGGTTTTTTCCTCATGGGCTATCTAAATGGTATAAAAGAAACTGAAGGTTTGAGCACAGGCATGAAATTCACACGATGCTTTGATGAAGGCTCAGTTGTTACCTTTTTCTTCTATTCCAATAACCAACATTGCTTTTACAAAATATCTCATCTAAAAATAATGAGCGGTAGTGATCACATATTTAACACACTCAGTGAAGAGTAGCAACTGATCACCTACCACATTAGCTTTAGCTTATTCCAATATTTTATGCATGCTGCTGATGGACACTATTTGCTACTCTCAGACAATCCTTTTACTCAGAGCTCCTCTTTCTATTCCAGCTTGCTGTTAAGTTCCCAAGTTGAATGGTTGGCTACAAGGGCTTACAACAGACTTCTGTTCCTCAAATACAAATATATGAAATACATACCGAGGCTGCTATGCTTATGTTATATTCATGATCTGCCAGAATCTTCTCTTGTGAGGTGGAATTGAATTTGCGGGGAAAGTGATGCAGAGATGTAGTTGCTGCTTGCAGTAGAAAAGCTCCAAAATAAAAGACAAAAGTAGCCCCATGGAAAAGAAAATCCTGAAAAGTAAATGACAGACTCAGTCTGGGCTGTAACACACACCTAACTCTTCTAGCCTTAGTACAAATGAACCCCACCACTGAAACATGAAACGAGCACTGATAACATTAACTTTAGATAAGCAGTGTTAAATCCATCCTAGAGCTTAACCTGGACATGTTTTCACAGCTGCTTGCAGTTGTAAGCAATTCACTAATATAATTAGTGATAAGAGGCAACTCTCCCTCTCCTCAAACCATATATTCTTTCAAGTTAAGGCATGTGCTCATCTATATGTACATATGCTGACCTTTCAGATCACTTTAAAGCTATTAGAGCTTACAGAACTCTCCCTTCACACAGTTTAGATAAAAAAGAAGGAACACACAGGGCAACTTCATCACAATTTTAGCAGTACAATACAAGCTTGCAGTCCCCCAAATCCCCTCTCAGCTGTAACCTAAGCTCCAGAAGTCCTCCCTCCATGCTTAGATTTTGCTTCTGTAAATGACCAGACCCACCTCAACCTTGACAGAGCTTAAGTTTACTTCTTGGTAAAAATCAGAATCCAAGAACTGAGACATTTCCTCACCTCTGACTTGGCTCTACACAAAATACAGTAATTTGGAAGTACTTCATGATACTGTGGAATAAAAAGTCCAAGATGTGAGGGGACAGGAGTTAGGATTTACTTTAAATATGCTTCTCTCCTGGCCTTCTATTGGCAATTCTTTCCCTCCTCTGTGGTGAATGCTAGCTGAACACAAGGTTTAAACATCTAACTCTCATTTCTGGATTCTATTATTGGAGCACATGAAAAAGCTCTGGTGCCTAGATCTCTTTGTGGGCTGTATTTCAGGATCCAGTGTTCCATGCAGCAAGAACCAAGACATGCTCCAGTACAGTTTTAAAATGTCTAAAATATTCTTTCAAGACCTCCTCCTGTTGTTGAGTCTGCAAAACTGACATTTGTGCTGCACTCAGTCCATAAAACATGTATTTTGTGCCCATACCCAAGCAGGTTTACAAAAGCCATAGACACAATTTTTAAAGTTATACACAAGTATATGTGGGCTTTTTGATGATACCCACATTATATAGCCTATCTCCAGCACTAATGAATTCTTTACACACTTTTAATTCGCTTGAGTGCAATGGACTACCAGTATGCCAAGAGTGAGAACCCAGGGTACACCATGTGCAAGTTCATCCCAACAGCAGACAGCATTCATATGTGCTAGAAATTACTGTGCAAGATCCTTACCTACTGACTATATCAAATATCAAAGTGAGAATGTGCTGCATTTCCCTATTTACAGAATTGTTTTTTCATAAACGTGAAGTTTTCTTTTTATTGGAAGAATTTTCTTTTCAAATTCATCAGTTGTTCCATATTTTATAGCAGCTAAAGCTTCTTATATCACACCCTCGTCAGGTCTGATAAGTTATGACATAAGATGTAGTAAGTTTCCCATTCCAATTAGCACAGGAAATAATTTTCTCTTAATGAAGAATCATCTGATCATTTGAGGGTAGGTCAGAGAGTGCACTGCTTTTCTTAATAACTGCTAATTACTGGGAATCCAAGTTTTGGCAAAACTGCTGCAGTAATTCCCAGGTTCTGGTTTTCCACTGATTTGGGTTTTGGTTTTTGGTTGGTTTTGGTTTTGTTCCCCCTCCAATCTTTTTTAAAAACAATTACTTCCTCTTTGAGTACCACGAGGAGGCTCCACTGACATCAGCAGAGAAGGGGGCAGAGGATGCCTTCCTGACCTGCCCTAACTGGATAAGCCTTTATGTGCCAGGCTTGCTACTGCCTGTGGCACCACATCGGACCACACACAGGTATGCCTTCACTGTGTGACACATACTGGACCCCATATCACAGCCTGCATTACCCATTTCATAGCACAGGATCCCAGTACCTTAAAAGGTCTGTGTAAACCTAGGTGTAATCAGGGACATCCATTATTCTCGGGCAAGTAAATTGCCAGCATGTAATTTACAGCATGTCAGTGTTACCAGCTGTACACTTTTGGCACCACTGCTTGTAAAGGACAACAAATAGCTCCATGAGGACGACAGTGCTGACTGCATGCAGAAGAGAGACTTTCACAAGACAAACTCTTTAATTTCCTTCATACTCCTGCCAAACCCTCTAATTTCCTTCTCCTGGCAGCAATTACAGTGAAGCTATGTAGCATCAGTAAGGTTTCGTGTTTGTATGGTTATGGTTTCTGTAACCAAAACCCCCAAGGGTTTCTTGGTTTTTAGTAACTGTTAGCGTGGTGCCTAATCCTTCCTTGCCCCCACATGTGTATAACTATTGAAACCTCATACAAAGTTTATGTAAAACACTACCAGATCTGCATGATATCTTAGTTCACATCTAATTTTGGAAATGAGTGTGTTGTGAGTCAGGCTGTTAAAGGACAGTATTTGTCATGCCATCTGGTTTAACACAGTGATGTACCGAACGATGTACCTCCCTAAGGTCTGTATTTTCTCTCATCTTTTCACTGTATAGTATCTTACTAATACCAATTTATCTACTATGTATTAGTATCTACAACATATTATAAGTCGCTCCACTGATACTAATGTAAGTTATTACTAAATGCAGGGCTGTCAGAATCCCATGCTATCTTTCAAACTTACATTTAAACTCCTGAAGTCTTAAACCACATTTGTTCATGAATCTCTACTACTCCAATATAACTAAGCCATGACTCTTCCCACTTTTCTAATGACCTGTAGCTTCTGTAAATTGGAGTTATGAAATGGCAAACCTCAAGTATTTATCTAAATGCCAACCTAAAGCAAACAGGTACACCTTTTTATTTTATAAAATAAAACTATTACTAGAAACACTAAAACTATTTGAAACAGAAAGTAAAAAAAGTCCTTGTGAAGTGCTGCTAAGGAATTTAGTGTCAGCAAGTTACACAGTATTTGGGTACCTGAAAATAGTGGTCCAACGATCTATCTAGTGTTATTTTTGTTGACAGCTGGAAGTGGCTGGATATCAGCTACCACGTTAGAGATAAAACAATTCACTCTGCATTCAAGATGTTGACTTAGTTATGACAGCTTTTTAAGTTAAGTTAGAGCGTCACACAGATACAGTTTTTATACAAGTCATGTAGCAATTTCCTGACATAGAAAGTTTTCCAGTAATGTATCCCTTACAAGGGGACAAAATTAATAGTGTAACAAATCACTGCCATTATCGAGTAGCCAATGCTTAAGACACACTTACGCAATTGTTGTAAGATGGACATTTGTATGGTATTTTCAATCTATAAAGGGCTATGCCCCCACCCAGCAACTTGTAAATTGACAGTTTCAATGAAACCCAGGGCACATTATAATTTACTTAAGTTATGCACATGCTCAAGGGCTTTGTTGCATCATAACTTGTGAGGATGTCACAGCATAGATCCCTGTAAAGGTCTCTGTAATTGTAACTCCCTATTAGTGTAATTACTGCCTGTATTGTGCTGGAAAGCTGACACTGTGTGTATGTGTATTTGCTATCAAAGTGCCAAAGTTTGTTTTAATAGAGTCCGGTCTGTTAGCACTTACAGGGGATGGCCCCAAACTCATGAAGCATTATGATTTGCTTTAAAGACTTTTTGCTTAAAGGGAATGTCTCTGAATAACTTGAATGGGTAAATAAGTACAGATGTTGATACTGAAGCATGCAATTCCAGCTGTGCTCAAGAAAAGCATCAATAGGAAATAGGAAATCAACAGGAAAACTAAGCTGCAAAGGAGGAAGGTAAAGGTGATCAGGAGTTACAGTCATTCTTAATATTTTAGAAGTTCTGGTCCTTTTGGAAGGTTTTTTGGAAATTCTGATCACAGGTTTGCCACCTCTTATTATTCACTTCCAGTAATACAAGAAAGCCATCTTGTGCTCAACTACTTGAATGCTAAAAACTCAAAGTATAAAACAGTTAATGGCAAGAAAGGAGTATGTAAATTAGCAGTCAATAACTTGATGTATCCGTGTGGTTGGCAAAAAACTGAAACCAACAACTTCCCTTTTCTAGTAGAAGGTACAGACTGCAAGAACTATTGGCATAAGCCATAACAATCCATTGCAGCAAGAATAAAGTCTTGTCTCCACAATGAAGAAAAGCTAAATAAAGTGTAATTATTTGTTGTTTTCACCAGGCTTCCTTGAAAAAAGATAAACTCTAAGCTTCCTAGAAAGATGTTAAGCTATATCATCCCGCAGGTTGTGCTGTCTTTGACTACCTAAGGTCTAATAACCACTTACCAATGTTGCCCTGACTTTAAGGAAATGACCCAAAAGTCAGCAGAAGACTTTCTCAGGAACTGGAGGAAACTTACTGGGTGCTTTAGTCCAGCCTGTGCTATCTCAGATAACCACATCACACAGTGTGTTCACAAATGTATCACTTCCTTCACACTATTACATGTACCCCCATTATTCAGAGTGTCGCTACCACTTCTTTAACAGTCAGGAAATATTTTCCAATTTCCAGCCCACAATTATTTCTGGCCATTTACATCAATTTGTTGTCATGCCTTGTTAAACTAGTTCTCTTCCTGCTGCTCATGCATTTTATGTGCTCAGAGAGGACAAGTATGCTCCTTCAGTTTCAAAAACTGGACTCTTTCAGCCTCCACTATAAAACAGGTTCTGTATTTCCTCCATCATCCCTGTAGCCCTACTCTTCCTTTTCTAAGTTCTGAATTCCTGTTTTGAAAAACTTTCAACTAAAACAGAAGGCCTCACATTAAGACTCTGGATCAGTACTTCTCATGAAATGATTTTCAGTTTATAAAGCAAAAGGAATCCTCAAATAAAGAAAAAGATCTTACTGTTTGGTTCCAGTTGACAGCGATTCTATTTGCATAACCAAAGAGGAACACACAGAGGAATGCAATGGACAGGAACCATGCAGTCACCGCTACAAACATCACCCATCCTTGCAGCAGGGGCAGTGGAACTTGAGTAGAAGCTACCAAAATCCAGACTATCGTTCCAAACAGCTGCAACGAGAGAAACACAGATGATGAACAGACAACTTTTATTCAGTCCTTTCTGTGTAAGAACTAATATCACCCATCAACACGTCCTCAAATCACTTTAAGAAACCAAGAGGCAACACTTCAAATGTTCTTAGAGGGCCCAAGTGTCGTTCTCAGCAAGGACAGGCACTAAGTGGTGATAAGACAAAGCCACTCTGAAATTCTTAAAAGCTCTTAATCTTGAAAATGGGATTTGCAGACCCAGGTGACTTGTGTGCTGATGCTGAAAATGTTACGCTTCCTCTCATTTTGTGGGAACTATAATAAATGTGAAAACATGACTCACACACACATACACAAATCTCTCTCTATATCCTAGTTCGCATGACAAGGACATATATGAGATTTAGATTCAATTTCATACTGTTTAATTTTGTAGTCCTAATCAGATGAGATACAGAAAAGAGATGAAACTGCATTCTCTTTTTCAATGCATTTGTACTAAGAGAACATATTAAGCAATGAAATGAAAGAGAAAACTAGACTACAGAATAAGGCAAATTGTAAATTATGTGATAATGACTAGAAAAAACACTCAGCTTTCCAGAATTATCATAACCCAGGGAAGAATTCGGCACTACCAATTTTGTTTTCAGCATGCGGATCGCAGTGAATGAGTGGTGGGGATGCTGTGCTATGATGGGCTGATGGAGAATTTATGTACTCTAAGGCTTACCCAGTTTAATCAGCTCTTGGTCTAAGGAAGAGTGCTATTTCTTCCTGCAAATCCTGACTCTTTATTAAAAAAGATAACTGGAGAAAATCGTAATTGCCATCTGAAATATATTCATTTATTACAGAAAGATTTAACTTCATAACCCAGCCTGCTGTGTAGTGACAGCTACCATCAATTTCCGAGCAAGTTACTACTTCCCTGTTTAATTCCTACGGATTTACAACTACAAAGTCAGAGGTTACATTTTCAGATTCAGAGAACTTTCTTTTGAATTAAGGTTAGATGAGAGATGCCTTTCAAAAGATGCCTAGAATTACGTGGTTCCTCTCTCGTCTTACACTGCAGCACCGTACATGTGAAGATGCACTGCTAGTCTAGTTCAAAGCTCCCAAGGGTTTATGTACTAGCCTTCAAGTGGTTCTCCAGGGTTCCTTTTTTAGCTATGGTGAAGAACCAAACTTCCTCTAGTTTCACAAGACTGCAGGTGCAAGTCTGACACTCAGAGATCAGATAGTGATGGGCAGTGAGGAAGCAGAAGGGATAGCAGAAAGCATCTCGTAAACAAAAAGCAGAGGCACATGAAATGCTTGCAGTATTTTGAATGTGCAGCCTTGAAGGCTTTAAAAATACTTTTAGACATCTATCGCAGAGACACGGTGCTCACTGTTGTGCTGTTTCCCTCGTACTACCTACACCTGTCCACTTCAGGTCGGCTGTCAGATGTAGAATGGGTTGGCCAACCTAATTACCCTTCTGTCCCTACTGATTCAGGGCTTGATTTAACACCTGGACTTATGCTCCGAGCTCTTTGCTTGGGTGATTTTACAGCTTGCAGGTTGGGATCCATCTCACAGACTGGGGCCCAAGCGTTAGCCTGCTCTGACCCCAAGAGAAAAATCATTATTAAAATCAGATTAATTCTGTCAAGGGTTTTTTTTCTCCTGTTACTTAGCACCACACCTCTGCAGAGCCTCATACTCAGCCTTAAGCCACAGGTCCTCCAGTAAGGTCTAAAACACCCATGAAATTAAACGTCCTTGTGGGAGTTTGCACAGGACCCGTAACTCACACACACACAGAGGCAAGAACCAGCCTAAGTCTCCGTGGTGGGTTCGGGTCGGGCACTCAGTGTGGCCCGAAGTCCTCGCAGATCAAACAAGCCCCGCGTAAC